GGCTCCGGAACCTGCCTGCAGGGTCCCACCTGCAGGGACAGGGACAGCGGGGGGGTTCCTGCCCTGTCCCCAGGCCCTGTGCTGGTGGCACTGAAGCATCCCACAGGTGGCTCTGGCTCAGTTTGCTGTCTTGTATGCCACGAGACCCTATTTTCTGAGCATGCCGCGTGGTTCCTGTGCCCCTGATCAGCCCCTTTCCCTCACAGGTACCTGAGCACCACGGTGGGCACTGCTCTGATCTCCTCCACCGTGCTCAGTGACTACCAGGAGATCAGCACGTCTGTGCGGTACCGCCTGCAGCACCATGTCCAGGTACCCTGGGAAGCACCCTTGCTTCCCTGCCACCTCCCCACTGGTGGCCTCTGCTCTGGGCCCCTGAGCTCTGGGGCTCAGGGCTGTCCCATGCCCAGCTCTCCCATCTTGGCTCCCGTTTCCCTGGGTTGGTGTTTGTCCCGTGCTGCCCTGGCTGAGGGAACTGCCCTGCCTGTGTGCATGGCTGTGTCATCTCTTCCCCATCTCTGCCTGCAGGACCTGCCTGATCAGTTGGTGGGACCCATTTGTGCCTTCTGGAACTTCAGCCTCAGGTGCCTGGTTTCAGTTCCCAGATTTATGAGGTTTTATTTTTCATTGCAAAAACAAATATAATGACATAAAGACAATGGTAAGAGCAGAGATCAGTAATTCTCTGCCTGCTTTGCATGCTGACATCTTCTCTCTGCTGGAGCAGAGTGCTCTCCTGGGAAGATGTCCTTTGTAAAAGTCACAGGCAAGTGACCTTTAATGAGGTATATACAACTAAAATGGAAAGCCCCAGTTAATTATGATTGTTGCTTGCAACAAAGAAAGGTTGGTCCAAGATATATATTCCAACAGACTGCAGGACTCCCATGCCTCATAAATACTGCTTGGCACTGAGATGTGTTTTTGCTGAATGTCACCACAGTGAGAGTACTGAGACTGTGATATATTATGGATTGGTAATTAAGTCATTCAAGTGCAAAAAAACTCCTTAGAGTCCCAGGCTTGTAACAGACATAGATCAGTTTGGGGAAGGTGGGAAGAGGGTGTTTTTGGAGGAGCTGGCTGCTGCACAAACACTAGCCCTGCTCTGAAGTTGGTCTTCCCTTGGCAGTGGGGCAGGCCCGGGGGGCAGTGCTGAGGACAGAGCTGTCCTGCTGCAGCCTTGGTCTCTCCCCAGGGAAATGGGACCTGGAGCTCTGCTGTCTGCCCAGGCAGCAGGGATCAGCTGCCTGTAGACAGGCTGACCTGAAAATGGAGAAAATGTCCAGAAAATTGAGAGTCTGGTGGAAGTGCACTGGGCACAGGCAAGGCAGGGCAGGATCCATGTCTGCTCTCGGTGCAGGTGCTGCAGGAGCCCTTCCCAGAGCTGCACACACACTGAGCTCTGGGCAAGGCAGGGATGGCCAGACTGCTTTTCAGTGCACACATTGACACTACTCCTGTTTTCTTGTGTGTGTCTGATGGATAAGACAGATCTTCCGAGACAGGATGAGCCAAAGGGAAGTCCACAAGGAGACTTGTCTTTGATATCTTCTTCCTTATTTCAACTCTGCTTCTTCTGGGAGAATGATGATCCCTTCATGCCCTGGTTTTCTCTTGAAGTGGATAGTAATTCCCATGGTTTTTCTCCTTTTTTTTTTTTCTCCTTTCTTCATGTTAGCCCAGATGCTGGTGGGATGTGGTCCACAGCTGGCTGCTCTGTGGTGGCATCTCTTCCGGACTCCACTGCCTGTTTTTGCAACCACACCACAAATTTTGCTGTGCTGCTGCAGGTCTATGAGATGCAGGTGAGAAAGGAGCCTTTCTCTGTGGGTCTGAGGATGGGTGCCAGAATGGCAAGCAGTCTGTGGTTAATTTGGGGGGTTGTGTCTTCTCTTTTTCATGGTTGGAGCAGAGGAGCACCAAGGAGGAGTTCACGCTGCAGACCTTGACTTTTATTGGATGTGGAGTTTCCTTCTGTGCTTTGATTGTTACCTTCATTTTATTCTTGGCAGTTGGGTAAGAAAAGTCCAGACACCTGTAGCCTTCTCTGTATTTTTTGTTTGCTATTTTGGTTCAGAACAAGAACACCAACAAGGTATCCTTGGTCAGCATAGGGAGGGGTGGGTGTGCAGGGAGAGGCTGGGGAGCTTTGCAGTGAGTAGCAGAGATGGCAGATCACCCAGGCAGGTCTGAGCAGCCCAGCAACAACTAGTGAGAACATGTACCCCCTTTCATCTGGCTGCAGCTGATGGCTTCCTCTCTCCCTCCTCAGTGTCCCCAAGAGTGAACGAACAACTGTGCACAAGAACCTGATCTTTGCATTGGCTGCAGCAGAAGCTCTGCTCATGTTCAGTGAATTGGCCAAGACCAACCAGGTAAACTCACCAGAAAGTGCCCTGCTCAGCCAGCAGGACCAGGCCTGCTGAAGCCCTATTTTCAAAGCAAAGAGAACAGAAGTGTAATACTTCTTATTAACATTTCATGAATTACCTGTAACCTGCACCTAGGAAAGAATTGTGTCTGTGTGTGGGGATGTGCACGTGAGCACTGTGCAATCTGTCAGGAAAATTCATCTCTTTCTTCTGACAAAAAATCCTTCAGGAAATTTAAGTAGTTAGAAAACAGCAACATATACACCTCTCCCCATCTGTGTCCTCTTCCACATCCCAGGGCTGGAGCAAGCAGCTCTGAGATGAGACACCTGCAAAGAAAGTCCAAGAACTGCAGGAAAAGATTATCTCAGTTCACTCTTCTGTGGCTTGAGATGGTCACACAGATGAAATCAGTGAGCTGCAGTAGTTGGACTGTTTGTGTGTTGCAATTGTAGGAACTCTTCCTGGTGCTTGTGGATGTTTACATACATTTCTGCACATTCAGCAGCACAATTTGCAGGTTGCTTTCTCCTTGTGTGATCACACAAGCTCAGAAGCTCCCAGAGGACTCCTCCTGAAAGGGCCCATGATTTCTCTTCTCTCCAGGTGATGTGTTTCACCATCACTGCCTTCCTTCATCTCTTCTTCATGGCAGCCTTTTCGTGGATGCTGGTAGAGGGGCTTCTCCTGTGGAGCAAGGTGGTCGCAGTCAACATGAGTGAAGACAGGAGAATGAAGTTCTACTATGTGACAGGCTGGGGTATCTACAGACTCCTCTGCCTTGGGCACTCAGAAAAATTGGTCAATTCTTTTGTCTGGCATAAGTTTCAATAGGAGAGCTGGGTGCCACTGCTCTGCAGAGCCTTTCTTGCCTTTATGTGTCAAATTGTCAGTTTTAGAATATAAGTTAAAACACATTTATGTTATTTTTCTAAATCCAAGAGTTGAATACCAAAAAAATGGAGGAAGAAGTTTATGGCAAGTTCTTGTTCTTGGACAGCATCACTACTTTCTGTTAGTAATTAAAATACAAATACCTTCCTGACTAAGCTCCCTGTACTGAGTGAGCCCTTTAGGGACACAGAATTTGTGTGAATAAGCTGAATTTGACACCAAAGTGGAGGCCTGTCAGGTCAGTGCTCCTTGCAGAACACACACCTAGCTGGGCCTCAGGCTCAAATATTTTTTTATTGTTTTGTGTCTTTGATTGTCCATTTTTGTTAACAAAGCAATCTGAGGAGTAAATTGCTTTGATCAGGACTCAGGACTTAGAATGCTTTATACCTAGGAGAGTGATGCTGACAGCATATAAATCTGGCCTTGCAGAGCCAGGGCAGGTTTCAGCTGCAGTAAATTGATGTTGCTCATGGGGTTTCAGAGGCTAAACTGGCTCATGCTGGAGCGTGTCTGGTCATGGGGGCTTTGAAGCAATTGTCTAGAGCACAACTGACCCACCTGGGTCATCTCTGCTTTTCCTGGGGTTTACTCTGTGTTTTTTTTTCTGCAGGCCTCCCAGTCCTTATCGTGGGGGTGACCCTTGCAACCTCCTTCAACAAGTACGTGGCCGACACCCACTGCTGGCTCAACGTTCGCACCCACGTCATCTGGGCCTTCGTGGGCCCTGTGCTCTTCATCCTGGCTGTGAGTGCCCAAACCCACGGGGAAGGGGGGATTCCTCCCAGGGCTCCTGGTGCCTGCTGCTGTCGTAGGATGTTTGTTATACTTGATATATACACTTTCACAACACAAATAAATGTCTGTAACCGAAGCAGCTTTTTGATAGAAAAAAAATGCTCTTGAAAATTTTGCTCACCGGGTCCTGTATTAGCTGTTAAATTAGGAATGTGGCTGAATGTGTAGGTTGGCTGTGACATTGCCTGAACTGAAGGGCTGATTTTAATATGGGAACATCTGTGACCTTGAAGCAGTATCAGTGTCGTTATGTGGCAACATAGTAGCAGAAAAAGGTACAACGTTTAAGAGGGCCGGAATAGACCCTTAACAGGAAAGACATTCTGCAGGAGAGGTTTTGAGATGAGTTTTCTAGATTTCATACACGTGTGTGTGCTCTGGCAGGGGGGTTGGACTAGATGATCTTTCGAGGTCCCTTCCAACCCCTTAGGATTCTGTGAGTCTGTGTGGATGAAGTGTTTCATTCACTGCTTTCTCAGGGGTGATTCATTTCTTCCCAACTTCTGACACTTCGTTAGAAAGTCCCCAGCAAAAAAGACTCACCCCACTGGAACTGGGATTACAGAAGGTCTCTGGGAAGCAGCTTTTTGATAGAAAAAAAATGCTCTTGAAAATTTTGCTCACCGGGTCCTGTATTAGCTGTTAAATTAGGAATGTGGCTGGATGTGTAGGTTGGCTGTGACATTGCCTGAACTGAAGGGCTGATTTTAATATGGGAACATCTGTGACCTTGAAGCAGTATCAGTGTCGTTATGTGGCAACATAGTAGCAGAAAAAGGTACAACGTTTAAGAGGGCCGGAATAGACCCTTAACAGGAAAGACATTCTGCAGGAGAGGTTTTGAGATGAGTTTTCTAGATTTCATACACGTGTGTGTGCTCTGGCAGGGGGGTTGGACTAGATGATCTTTCGAGGTCCCTTCCAACCCCTTAGGATTCTGTGAGTCTGTGTGGATGAAGTGTTTCATTCACTGCTTTCTCAGGGGTGATTCATTTCTTCCCAACTTCTGACACTTCGTTAGAAAGTCCCCAGCAAAAAAGACTCACCCCACTGGAACTGGGATTACAGAAGGTCTCTGGATCTATTGGCTCTGTCCTGACAGGTGAACACCTTTGTGCTGTGCCGGGTGGTGATGGTGACTGTGTCCAGTGCTCGCAGGAGATCAAAGATGCTGACACCCAACAGCAGCCTGGAGAGCCAGATTGGAATACAGATATGGTGAGATGGGAAGGGGCTGGTTTTCCCAGCCATGGCTGCTCTGATATGAAATGGTGGGATCGTGGTTAGATGAGAATCCTTGGCTTGGTGAAGTGAAAGATCAGGAGCTGGGGGAGTCAGGGCAGAAGGGATTTTCTCCTCCAGGGTAAATGTGCATCACCCCAAGGTAGTCTGCTCCAGAACTGGAATTTCTTAGAGCTCTGAGCTGCAGAAGTGACTCCTCTCCACTTCCCAGAGCATTGCAGTTTGAAAGGGTGAAAACTGAATTTATCTCCCACCCACCCTGTCCTTAGCACCCGTGTGTGCCCTGCGGAAGGTGGTAGCTGCAGGGCCAGCAGGGGCTGGGCCGCCTGCTGTTAGAGAAAGCATCTTCTGTGGGAGTTTGGGACTTGGTAGATTGAAAATCATGCTGATGCTGTGAACTTCTGTAATCAGTCAATATAGAGAGACCTCTAAAAAACTGCTGCTTGAGTCATTACTTTATCATCCTCTGTGAATCTTTATTGTTGTTAGCTGGCGCCGGGTACCCCTGCCAGACACGCATTGTTCCCCTGTATCATAAATAAATTTCCCCAAATTCACAGAAGTGCAAAGATAGGGCATTGCTGGAGGGCAGCCTGACATCCATATGCTAATAAAACAAATACAGAAGCCCTCCTTGGAGCAGCAACTGGGGGGAAAATAGCTGTTTTCTCATGGCTAATGACGTCAAAGAGCTCCCTTCTTGCTAACTAAGTGATAAATAAAGAGCAGGGGTGGCACACGGGGGGCTGGAAGGGGAAATGTTTGGTTTTCACCCTCTTAAGTAATTTTGTTTGCAAAGGCATTTGTTCCATAGCCACCATCTTGGGTGCCTCTTGGCGGACACATCATCTGAAAGACACTTGCTGAGGGAGGAGAGCTGTATGGAGAAGGTTTCTTCTAAATTGCAAGATCAGACCAGGGTGCTCCTAAACCTGTGGAGCATTTCCAGGGCAGATGTCCTCCCTCAGTGGTCTGTAACCTAGTGCAGATGCCCTAGGGAGATCATGGCAGAAGCCTGGGCTGGCTTTGCAGAGCCAGGAAGGACACCTGGCAGACTGGGGAGCTTTGCCAGGACACTCTGGGCTCAGGGACACTGGGCAGAGCAGAGATTCCCATGGGGAGCTGGTGGCTGGGAGGTGGGTGCCAGTGCACAATGTTGCAGCTCTGAAATGCACCCAGGTAACCATGAGCTCTTCTTCCTGACAGGGCCACAGCCAAGCCCATCCTGGTGCTGCTGCCTGTGCTGGGACTGACCTGGGTGTGTGGCATCCTTGTCCACCTCAGCATTGTTTGGGCCTATGTCTTCATCGTTCTGAACTCCCTCCAGGTGAGTCCTGTCCCAGGGGGATCCTCACATCAACACCAGCTGAGAATCGGTGGCTTCTTGTGCTCCAATGTACTCTGCCTGTCCTGATAGCTGGGGACATCTGCCAGCTCTGAAGGCCAGCCCAGCTTTCCCAAGCCTGTGGGAGAAAACAGCTGTGCTCTTTTGCCAGAGGAAACTAAGTTCATGCCCCCAAGATAGGAAATACAGCTCTGGAGTCCTTGCTAATCTGATGTGCCTTCAGCACTAGTCTCTGGAGTGTCCCACTGGTGCCACAGCTTCTCAGCTCAAATCTGGTTTCTCATGTGAGATTTTTCTGACATGAACATGGTTTCAGAATGACTTACAAACTGATATGCTTGCAGGGAACTCCATTAGAATTTGGATTTGGTCATTTAATGGATAATTAAAATGGTAACTCCAGTTTAGTGGGGCAGACCCCCCAGCTGGTGTTTGCATCAGTGAAATGAGCCCCATTCCCACAGGGCAGGGACGGGCCGTGTGTGCCAGCACCACTGGGAGGGCTGGTCATGGAGAGTGTCCCAAAGGTCATGTCCAGCCAGAGTGTGTTTGCTTGCTGCTTAGATGGAGCATGTTCCAGGATGAGTGTTTTCCACTGGCTTCTTGTTCAGACACACTTAGAGGTTGTGGGGCAAGCACTGTTCAGGCAGAACCACCCTCCTTTGCCTGGGGGGTCAGTGTTATCACAGGGAGATGAGACAACAAGAATTAAGAATCAAGGACTGATAATCTTTATCCCTAAAATCCACACTGTCTGCAGCCATGCAGGGCATCCCCAGGGGTGTTCCCAGTGCCCAGTGAGAGCTGCACAGGAATCTGATGGGATGCAGGAGGGTTTGGTGGAGGAGATTGCAATGCAGGCTGGAGAGGTGAGCCTTGCACGGGGAGGCTGGAATTCCCTTGCAAGACCTTGGTGAGTCATGTCATCTGCTTCAGCCTCCTCATTCCTCTTTAGGCAGCATAATCTGGCAACATTTTTGGGGATATTTTCTTGTCTTGGTGTCTTCCAGGTTCATGGCTTTGACTACCATACTTCAGAGTCTTGTTAATGTTTCTATTAACAGGGAAAGCAATAGCAATACTTACTATTTGCTTCTAAGTTTACTGAATTCATCAGAAGAGTTTAGAACTTTCACCAGCCTGTTTGAGGTTAAGAGAGCAAAGCCCATGGTACCTGTCACCGCGCTCAGGAGCGCCCAGTTCTGCGCTGAGCCAGGACCGGTCCCAGGGCCTCAGCATACCTGAAACTCGGGGACACATGGTGACAAAACGTCCCGGAACGTGTGCTTTCCACCTGCAATTCAAAGCCTCAGCCCCTTGTTGGCAGGAGCTTTCCAAGGCTGGAGGCAAAGCAGCTGCAGATGGAGCCAGAGCGGCACCGAACCCGCAGCGCCGCTCCCGGGCGGGGAACCAGCCGGGGGACGGGCAGGGGGGCTGCTCCTGCGTGAGCCGTGCAGGGAAGTTTTGCTGCTGGGATTGTTTGTTTGTTTGAATGCCTTCTGTTTATCTGTGGAAACCCGAGCCTGCCTTCAAGGTTACTGAAATAACAGTAAGAGAGCAGAGCAGCAGGGCTGCTGCCTGGTGTGCACACACAGCTTTTCAGAGCAGACTCTGCTCGGCTGTCTTTTAACTGTGAGCACCTTCCTCTATCTCAAAGAAAGGCAGTGCCACACAGTTTTCAAGGGAAAAGGATCACTGTGCGTGGTGTTTGTGTTTCGTAGCATGACTATGAGACAAATAGATTCCTGAAGCATGGAATCCTGAAGCAAAACCACAGATCTAGAAGTAATCCAAAATATACAACTGTTTCTAAAACAACAAAAACCATCATACACTGGTTTGAAGGCTTTCCATCTCCAGATGGACATTACTTACGTGGTCAATCGTTGAAGGTAAACCATATGGCCAAATCCCTTTTTCATTATGTATTTCTCTTGTATGTCAGTATCTGGAATACATTTGGAGTACTTGACTGGAGTAGGGGCAGGCTCAGGCTCAGGCTCAGGCTCAGGCTCCTCCAGAGCTCTGGCTCTGCTTCCTCCACCGCTGCAGCTGGGCCTCCTCTCCTTCCTTGCTCTCCTTCCAGCCAACCCCGCCGCTCCCCCCACTCCCCGCACTCATCCAGAGTGATTATTTCAAGGAAGACCTGCCCTGGCAGCCGGAGCAGCGCTGCGGCCCGGGGGAGTGCCCGGCGCTGCTGGCTGAAGGACGGGTCATGGCCCGGCGCCAGGGAGCTGCTGCCACCGGCCAAGAGCTCGCGGATGAGGAGCCAGGCTCACCGAGACAAGATGGATTGCTTCTCTTGCTGCAGCTGATTTATCTAGCTGCGATAACAAACACCCCACAGATACAACATAAATCTGGTGGGCGAGATAGGGCTGCCTTAAGGCCAAAATCGTTGGTCTGGAGCTGTAATTAGCCCCAGGCTGCGGCCTCCAGGCAGTGCTCGCTCGGGGCCTGCCCGGACACTTTCCCGGAGCACATCCCACACTGGCCCAGGACACGCAGCTGTGGCTGAGCATTTGTGGCAGAGTGTGTCATTGTTCACTGTCCCTTGGTGTGTGCACCCAGCAGCACCACTTCCATGAGCAGGGAGAGGGTGGCTGACACTGTACTACCAGAGCCCTGGCGGGATGGAGAAAGCTCTGTCCAGCTTGGCACTGAGCAAAGCCTCTGGATCTGCACTCCGGGTACAGGTTTGGGCCACAGGGTCCTGCTAACACTGTGGTCTGTCACTGCCCAGCTGTTCCTGGCTGTGCCATGCCCTGGCTGTGCCTCTTCCCAGGCCTCACCCATTCTAGTGCTCATCAAACTGATTCCCTCCCATGCAAAGCAGCCCAGACCAGCTGTACAGCTCTAACCCTGCTGTGCTCTCTCCTTTGCAGGGCCTGTACATATTCCTGGTCTATGCAATCTATAACAGTGAGGTAAGAGATGGCCCTGGCTGAGGCTCAGTCACTCTTTAGAGCAGCTCTTTGAGAGCAGCTGGGGGATAGCTGGGGCTGTAGTTAGTGTGACAGGTGGCATCACCCCAACTGTGCTCCTGAGACTGTTTCTTCATTACTTGCTGGAGGATCTTTTGCTCTGCTAGATCTGCTGTGGCTCTCTCTAATGTCCTTACTCTGCTCCAGGTGAGGAATGCTATCCAGAGGATGAAGGACAAGAAGAAAGCACTCTCATTCACAGTAAGTGGCAAGGAAGCCCTGCTACCCTGCTTTGTTCATCAGGCACCTACCAGAGCAGGGCCCTGGGTGTACGTTGGGCCTGCTTTGAGGAGATGGTGTTGGAAATGTCTTTTTTTATTATTGTTTTTTTGTCTCCATCATTTGCAGTCCTGTTGGACAATGTAGACCCAAAAGATAATGTAGCCTGATGAGGCAGCAGCCTGCTGTACCAGGGTGGGATGGGAGCCAAAGTCTCAGGGGACACAGTGCAGATGAAATTGATCTTTAAAGTTGGACATGGATCCAACAAAGATGTATGTTGCAGTTTTCAGTGTCCTGTATCTTTTCTCTGTCATTACAGAACTGCTCTCATCCTATCAACTATTTATCGAGCCCAAGAAACACAACCTCCTGGGAGACAGGGAAACTGAGTCCTTCTGCAGCTGAGAGTGCCTTGTCAAGCCCTGTGCAGAAAGACCCTCCAGTGAAGAACATCACCAACAAAGGTAATAGGGCTGTCATTGCTTTTGGCCTAGGCTGTGTCATAAGACCACAAAACTGTTATTCCCAAGGCTTGAATTTTAGTGCACATTCACTGGGCACCACGTGTGACCCATTTGCACACTGAGTCTGTGTGAGCACTTGGAGTCTGGTGCATCAAATGCAGCATAGGGTGAAGGATTCCCAGGGAAGGCAGGGATGCTGTGCATGTGGATCTCAGAGGGATCAGGCTCATGCCTGCAGGTGGTTGGCAGGGGATCTCATCCCCATGTTACACAGCATTGCATTCTCTTCAGGCAAGAATACATATTTGCATCTTAAAGTGAATTTTCTGGAGAAGGCTGGGCAAGGGTGGCAGTAGGAAATAGGGTGAAAAAAGTGTTGCATGCTCCAAGCAGTTTGTGGGTGCAGGTAACTTGTTTGGTCCCTTTGCTTCAGTGGGAGATACTTAGGGGATACAAAGCACTGAATTCTTGGTAAAACACGAATGTTTCTACACTCTAGTCTGCAAACTCATTGTGCTCCTTCATCCCCTAGGAAATTTTGGAGCCAAAATTCCCATGGGGATTTCATCAATTATGTCACCTGAGAGACCGGTATGTAACATCTTCTGTTACTCTTCCACCTTCATCCATACACAGAGCCTAGGGATGGTGTCCAATGGTTCCAGCGAGGGGCTGGATTTGGGACACCTGGGAGTGTCACCAGCTCTGGCACAAATTTAAAGTTTCACGTTGAGCAAGTCCCAGAAGCTGCCTGACTGGTCCACCCTGAGCACAGACTGAGAGTAGTGCTGATCTCCTCTGCCCCGGGGTGTAACAGAAATTACTGATTGTTGGTGAGGGAACAGGGAGGGTCAGCAAATGCAAACTGGGCAGCAGGGATTGCTGTCCCCTGCAGTGGGCAAGCCACGTCCCCCCAGGATGTGCAGGCCGGGTTGTGCTGCCTGCAGGAGCATGATGTAGGGCCTGCAGCAGGGAACAATTTAAATTTGACTACTCTCATACCACTTCCATCTCCCACTATTGAAATGATCATCAGTCCTCGTGCACTTGACATACAAGTGCTGTAATTTCCTCAGAATAAAATCTGACACTACTTTCATATGAGTCTCTCACTGAAGGATCTCTCTCCCTCTCTAATATTTATCCTTTGAAAACCTGTGTCACGTAGACAGCTCTTATTTATCCAATAGATAATACTTCTATAGCTAGCATATCATTTTGAAGCCACTCAATAAAAATCCATATTTTCATCTCTCATGATTTATACTCTGGTTAATGCTGTTCTGGGCTTGTGCTGAGCGCCGGGCGGGACCCGTTCGCGGGTGATGCTTTTCCCAGCCAGGCAGGCACTGGCTCCGTAAGCCAGGAGCAGGGCTGAGCTCCTGGCACCAGATCTGAGGCGTGGGCCAAAAGGATTAGCCCAGGGGCCTGAGGTTCCCAAGGCAGGGAGCATCAGGAGGCAGCACATCTCCCAAATGCCAAGGCCATGGCATTTCCTAGCAGGCCAAGGCAGAAAGCGCCTTCCTCCACGTGAGGGTCACTGAGGATTTTGCTGTATCTTTGCTGCTTAAACGTTGCATTTTTAATGTGCTTGTTTCTTTTCTACCCAATGTGGATGCAGCAGCCTTCAGAAGGTGAGGCTGCTGCTGGTGCCAGCCTGGGGGGAGGGCCCATGGTCCCCTGCCCGTGCTGACGGGCACTGCAGCTGTGTGGCTCCCAGCCAGCCATGGGGTGTTTTCAGCTGAGCCCCATCTTCACCACAGAGGTGGTCAGCATGGCTGTGCCAGGGGGTGTTACTGTCCCTCCGGTGCTTGCTGCCTCTGGGCTCCTTGGTTAGATAAGTCAGAGCTGGTTTTCCTGAACCCTGGCTGAATGAGTCATGGTGCTCTCCAGAGCTGCCCTGAATTAAGGATGTTGCTGGCAGCTGCACAATAGTTTGGATGAAGAGAAGATGCTACTTAAAAACATTTGAAAACACTTAAAATGACAAAACATTGAACAAGTGAAGAGACAAACAGAGATGAGATTTTCTTTGTGTTTCAGGTTTTTAAAATGTTGTTTGGTGATATTTATTGCTGTTGGGCTGGGAGCAGGAATTTCACACCTCACAGAACACTGAGGATCACTTAAGCACAGGGTGCAGGCGTGTGGTGCCCTTCCCACCACAGCACAGGGGAGAAATTTCTCTCTTCTCCTGGATTTTCCTGTGGTCTCCAGCAAAATGTCCAGCCCACCAGGTCACCCCAGGGCAAGGGGAGTGGGGTGACAGCTTGCCCACGGGCACTGCTGAGGGGTGCAGTGGTAGCCAGGGACACTGCTGGGTGCCTGTCCCTCAGGGACCAGGACAAGGGATCTGGTTGCTGGCTGGGCTGTGGCTCATGGGAGGGAGAGTGAGGAGGGGCAGGTGGGTGCTAGGGGAGCCCTGCTTGGCCCTGTGGTGTGGGCTAGGGGCTTGCCAGCAGCAAAGTACTCAGAGATGTACCTTCTGCTAATTAATGTTCTCCCCTCTTTCAGGCTGTAGAGCTGACAGCGTTCAAATCCTCAGGTAACATTTGCCTACTTAATTTTCTTTAATTTTTTTGTTGCTGCTGACACTGGTTTCTGTGGTTGCACGGTGAAGTGCTGCCTGGAGGGCAGCTGGTTTTTGCTCATGCTTTTGGAAGGGTTTTATTTCCCAGCTGTCCTGGGTGCAGTCCCGACTAGGGTGTGTGGAGATCTGTGTTCCCCAGACAGATGGAGGGGGGTTTGAAGCCCTGGCAGCTCTGGGGGTGCTGCCTCTCCCCAGCAGCACCCGTGACTCAGCCAAGGGTGCCCACTTCACAGCACCCACCTGGCTTCTCCCCTTGTCTTTGCACATTCCTCACTGCCTCTCCGTGCCTGCAGGGACCCACTGCTTGGCAGGGCTTGGGCTGCTTCAGGGGGGGCAACAGCTCTTTGCTGCCATGGAGGATTTTAAACCGGCAGCTGCTGCAGAAAGCGCTGGTGGGTGTTAGAGGTGACTCTCCCAAAGGGAAGGTGGGGTGTTCAGACAGGGCTGGATTTATGAGCTTAAAAAGCAGCCATTTAGTGTCTTCTATTTCAGGTTGTAGAAAGGCCAATGTCACCATGGAGGTGGGTAGAATTAAAACCAGAAATCCCTCCTAAGCCCCAGACCTCTGCTTGACTGCAGTGCTGGGGAGAGGCTGCCCAGGCACAGCCCCCTGCTCCTGCCCTGACTTCTCTTCCTGCCTTTGGTCAAGTCACCAGGTTCTCTGGGGATGGGTGCAGCATATTTAGCCTAATTATTTTTTTACCACCCCCTGACGAGAACCCGCAGCACGTTCAGTGTGTGGATGGGCTCACTCCAGCAGGCAGGGCAGTGAAGAAGCACTGGCGATGGGTCATATTTTTTTTCCTGCTCTGTTACATGTTCTGTTGTGGCAGGAAGCAGCGCAGGAGCAGGGCTCTGATTTTGCTCCACTTTAAGTGTTTAAGCAGGGCATGCTTAGGCTGTTTTCAAGACGATGCCGCCCAGAAGCGTTGCAGCTTTCCTCCCCGCACGGACACACGGGCGAGGCAGGGACGGCGGCAGCGGGAGCGAAGGTGCTGCGGGGGTTCGGGTGCGGGGTTGGGGCGCTGCCCCTTGTGCGCTGCCCCCGCCTCCCGCGGGGCTCAGTTAGCCACGCGTGTCATTAAACTCCAGACGTGCACATAGGTGGGTTGTTTAGTTTGGTTCTGTTTGCTCAGGGAAGCCCGCAGCGTGTTTTTAAAAGCCGGGATGTGCCCGGAGGAGGGGGAGCCGGGCTCGGTGCTGCGCAGAGCCGGGGGTGCCGGGGTCTGTGCCCTGGAGCGAGGGAGCCCTTGGCTGGGCAGCCCTTCAGCCCGGGGTGAAGGAGAAGATGTCCTTGAGCCAGAAGAGCCCTCCTGTGCGCACTCGTGGCCGCGCAAACCGCCGTGCGGGGCGGCGGGTCCGGCCCCGCTGCCCCCGGTGCCGCGCGCCAGGCAAGCGCTTCCAGCCGGGGGGGGAGGAGGCAGCAAAGCCCTCCTGTAATGCCTGGGAGAGCCCCGGGCAGCTCCGCCTGTCGCAGGCTCCGTCCTCGCAGCTTGTTCAGCAGAACAAAATGCCGTGTAGCTCTTGGGGACAACGAGGGGAAGGGAAGCGTGAACCTGTGCGCTCGGTGCTGGGTGAGGGAGAAGTCACTTCAACAGACACTGCTTCCCCTCTTGCGTTTGTGTCCTCCCAAAATCGTATTGAAAAGAGACAGATGTTGCTCCAGGAATCTTTATTTGAAGACTTCCAGCCAGCTCTAATTAAAATTATGGGAGGCTCAGGGCTTAAATGACTCAGTCTCCCAGGAAAACTGTGCTGCATCTGAGGTGGGATCCACCTCTTTGCTCCAAGTGGCATCACGCTGATCAGGGCGCAGGAGGCAGGAAGCAGGTCCATGAGGAAGGTGGGATGGGCTCTCGTGATGGGTTGGCACGTGTGAGGGTGGAAAAAACGTGGGTGATGCCAGGCCAGTCTCACCAACATGAGGAGCTCTGCAGCCTGGCTGTGGCCGGGAGGCAGATGGGAGCTGTGCTGTGCCCTGTGGACCCCTCCCCACCCCCGATCTTGGGCCCCCCCCCCTTGAGGACCCAGCTCACTCAGGGGGCCCTGTGGGCTGCAGTAATGAGCTCCAGTCCCT